AAAAAAGACATGAAAACCATATAAACCTTGCTAATAAATGTGGCATTGACCAGAATGCTTTCAAATGCTTTCTCCCTCCTTTTGACCCATACTAAAGCTTGTCAGAGGAGGAAGGCAAATATTAAAATCAGCATTGAGAACGTCTCACCTGGCAGAGATTACTGGCCTCGGGCATGCAGGCAGAGTTGCTCTGGGCAAAAATTCGAAGAGGTTGTTAGTGTATAAATTGTTCCAAGTAATATCATTTAGAATCTCATGCCCTTTCTGAGGTCTCTTGTGTCATTCGATAGGATGCCTGGGCTAAATTCCAAAGACATGCAGTCTGTTTGTAGGAAGCAAGATAGAAGTATATAGCCTGAAGATCAAATACCAAATGTGAACCAACCTCAGCGTGTTCTCATCTTTGTCACTGGTTGGATTTTGGTCTTCTTTTCTTAGAAAGCAGGTTCCCTAGAACACTTTTCTGCCTTCAAGATGGCTGGTAGGTAGACCCTTCTCATAGAGAGCCAGGGTCAGCTTCTCTGCAGAATCTGCATTTTTGAACCAGAGCAAAGTAGTCCCCACGAGGCCCACAAGCAGCCTGCCCTTTCTCCTTGGGTGGCTCTGGCTGAAAGGTGGGATCGATGTGCAAGAGCAACCATCAGGTGGAAGCACAGGGCGAGGTTGTCTTTTTCATATTTTTCTATGAAACATGTCTGTGAACTAAGGGGGGGGGATACAAAAAAACATAGATTGAGTAGGATTTTACAACAGGGATTATTGATGATGTTAGAGTTGATTTTCTCTTTCATTCTTTATTTTAAATTTGACAGTGTCTGCTTGTGTATTTGTAAAATGACTCTCTGAACAAACGTGAGCGGATGCCCTGAAAGGTTAAAGGAAATTTGGGTGAAATAATTTCCCAGTTTTTATAGCGCGGTTTAAGTAGTTTTCTGCAGGGAAATGCATCTGTCATTAAAATGCATTTTTCTCTGTGCTGTTTCCCTTTCTGAGGGAAACGATAAGTGTCATTTTAGCAAGTTTTAATGACTGTACTTTAATCGATCTAGTTTTCAAAAAGATTGTGTCTTAGGTAAATGGAAAAGATCCTCATCCCCTTTTTCCAGTGTACCCTGTGCTCCTGTGGGGTGTTTGTACAAGATCTGAGATACAGCTTTATTCATATCCATAACAGATTGAAGAACTGCTTTTTCCCAGCCAATGTGTCCTGTCACATCGGGGAAAGTCTGCTGGAGACTGCAAGCTAGTTTTCAATTTATTCCCTATTTGATGACCATATTTCTTTGAAAGAAAAATGATTTTCAGGGAAATTGACAGAATTTCTGAAGGAAAATTAAGGAAGAGTGGGCAAAGATTAAGAATGAGATGAATAAACTACAGAATAACAGGATTTTTTTTTCCAACAGGAGAAAATTTACAATAGTTGTCTTTTCCTTCTCTAACCTCCCCCAGTTCTCCTCCACTTTTTCTTCAAATCCCTTACCTTTCGATTCTGAACACACACACACACACACACACATACACACACACAAGCACACAAGCACACACAGGTTCCTTCAGGCCAGTGCCCAATTCCCTTACCTGTTTTGACAAGAAATGCATACTGCAGTCACACGCCAGAGGCCATGGTTATACAAAAGTCACAGGTCAATAAAGATCACTTACATTTCTTATGAGCCTTTTCATCTTCCTTTTCTCCTATATGGGCAGGGCCAACAGAAAGGGAAAGACAGAAATGTCAAGGGGTCTGGCTGTCAAAGAAACCCCCACTCCCTCCAAATAATTTGATGGCCCTTAAACTTTTGCTACCTTGCCTTAGGAAAAATGGCCTTTTCTCTTCTACTCCTCATCACAAGGTGTTCTTATCTCTTTCAAAATGAACTTAAAGCCTTGACCCTCTTCCTTGATGATATACAATAAAGTAAAAAGAAAAGATTGGTAGGTTTTCCTTAAAATTGTCCTTTAAAAGGAACAAGGGAAATGATCTACATTGTATTTTAGTTTAACATATTTGACATATGTTCTGTGAGTTCATACATGTTTGCTGAAGGTCATAAAAGTAGGCTTTGTACAATTAAGTGAACTTCACACTGGGAAATTTTAGCTACGTTTTCTAATGTATTTATTTATTGCTATCATTTACATGATCATTTTTCTTCCATGAGTGACCATATGCATAATTGGAGATTATGATTGAGAAATAATATTATCATTATGAAATCCATGCTATCCAAATAATACTGAAGATAAAAGAAACAATCAACCATCTAGTCATTCCTTTTTTCACTCTATTTAGGAAATTTAAAAATATTTATAGATATTGAAGTTTCATATCTCAAGTTTCTGATTCAACAGCATACTAAATGAACAATTCTTTTAAAAATGTTCATTCAAAAATTGATTTAGAGGCCTTAGTAATTTTTTTAAATATTTATTTATTTATAAGAGACACACAGAGAGAGAGAGGCAGATACACCAGCAGAGGGAGAAGCAGGTCCCCCTCAGGGAGCCCGATGTGGGACTGGATCCTGGACCCCAAGATCACACCCTGAGCCAAAGGCAGACACTTAACCACTGAGCCACCCAAGTGTCCTGGCCTTAGTAATTTTCAAGGAATGTCCTAAAGTTGATCCCAGGAGTCATCTAATACAGGTTTATTATCCCGCAAAAATAATAGCAGATCATAAGGTCAAAATTATTATCATAGAAAATCTTAAATCTTGATTCCCTTTCAAGTTTAGAGTCAGATCATGTTTATGTATATGTGTTTGTCTGAATGTATTTGTTTTTGCCTTTAAAAATTGTATATAAGAAAGAGAAAAACTGCTTTCAATGTTTGATGGGCAATGGAATCTTTAGGGAAACCTACAAATTGTAATAGAAACAAGTAGAAGATTTGGCTACATATCTCCTTTGTCTTTTCAATGAATGTAACAAGAGATTTTCCCAATTTATATGGAAGGTTAAAAAAAAAAGGTCATTATCTAATTAGAGAGTCAAAGGCAAACAGATTGTTCAAGAAAAACATTCCTTTCAGGGACAAATAGGACATATTGAGTGAGAGTTTTTTTTTTTAATGTAACCATCATTAATAAATTAAACTACTAAAGCAGTTGAAAAGATTCAGGTTTGATTTTCCATTTGTGAGATAAATGTGTATGTGTATAAGGTAAGTACTTATGAAATTGATTATAAGCTAGGACTCCGACCTCTGGCCTGCCCATGCAAGAAAAACGTGTCTTACCAAATTTAATGGATGAAAAATTGGAAAAGATTAGACTCCTATAATTATAAGCTTATAAACAGTAGGGTAAAGATTGGTACTTTGTTCTCCTGATGACCTACATTTATTCATTCAATCTTAATTGAAGAGCTACTAAGGATTTATTTACAAATCCAATGTATAGAATTTGAACAAAATTATGAAATAAACAACGATTGGATGTTATGTATGCAAGCATGGAGAGATTTTTTGGGAACTTCAGTTATTACTTATGACATTGGCTTAACTTTATGAAGATTATACCTCAATAACTCATTCTCCTTCCATGGCAGTCTTTTTTGTTTTTTTTGTTTTGTTTTGTTTTGTTTTGTTTTGTTTTTTTTTGTTTTTTGTTGTTAAAAAATTTATTATTGTATAAGTTATCTCTTTGTATTAACTGTCTTCACATGTCACTTAATAAAACACACTGCATCAATTCAAAAAGAAAGATTTGAGTCGGAAAAAGCTTTAGTTTTCTTAAATACATGTCTCATATCATATTGAAGAGATTTTTCCACAAAATGTTTATATTCAATCCTGTATAATATCTCTTCAAGAATAGACTTATTTAGTCATGATTTAATATATTATGAAAAATGTTTCTTTCTCATAGAAGGGTATTTTTAATGTAAGAATTTATTTTCAAACTCTAAAAGCACTGATCCTTTAGTTAAGGGAAAATAGGTAGTTTTCCGATTAGCATGTTTGTTGGAATAATGAAATGCATATTCACTTAGCCTAGGAATATGGCTCAGAAAATAAATTAGCAAGCTGTTTCAAACTAGTTGTCACTTGATTCATCTTCAGACTTCCCCTATAGTGGTGCTTTAAAAATCATGAGAGAAAAGCCTATTTATTCATGCTTTATTTCAAGGTGTTTTTGCAGTGCTGGGATCTTTATTTTAAATTGATTTTTATAAATATATTCATAATTGCCCTCACTTTGCCATACTTAGCATTGACTGCTTCCCTTTTGAATCAAGACAGATAAGAAAAATAGACAAATTGCGTTTAAAAGTACAAAGGGTCATGCTTAATTTCAAACCACAAACTGTCAAAACCCTGTATTCTCCTCACCCGGTCATTTTATACTTGATAAGTAAACCCACTTGAGGAATGTTTATATGCCCCAACGCTTTTGGACAAGTTCACTGACAGAAAACATTCTTTGAAGAAATATATCACAACTGTTTATCTTCCTGAGTGTTACCCTAAACCCTGTCAGTGCTAATGATAGCAGGGCATGATTTAAATAAATCCTTTTGAGAGTGACTATGGGTATTTCTACATTTGAATCACAAATATAGGAATTTTGGCTGTGAAAGTGGGCAACAGATATTTCAACATGAACAGCATTCTGTTCATATGAAAAGCTTTAATAGAGAAGTGCTCCAGAGAAGCACTGCTGTCACTCTTGGGTTTAACATACAACTGCTGCCTTCTCTAAGGAAGAAAAAAAAAAAAAAAAAGATACACTTCTGTGTAAAGTGCATATGTGTTTATCATGGTTCTATCACAGTTAAGCAGAACAAAAATGCAGTTATTTTTTAATGTCATAAATACACGGGTAATGCTGGTTTTCTAAATGATAGTAGTAAGTACAAATCGTGTGTCCCTCTCATCTTTCCTTTTATCATTAATAGACTGTTTTTGACCTTTCTATAATGAATACAGCCATTAAAAGCTATAGGAATGATACTCTGAGTTTTATAACTAAATCTATTATCTTTATTTTCAGCACAATGATGTCCTCTCTTTCAGTGGAAATTTGTCTTCAAAGAATTTCCATTTTCAACATCATTTCCCCATAAGTAAGTAATCTTTTATTTTCAAACAATATCAAATAAATACTTTACAACAAAAGCTAGTATTTTTAAAAATAATTTACATGTGTTTTTATATCGAGAGGCTTTTATGAAAGTGATTCATATGTTAAGTACTTTATTTAGTTTCAGTTGGTTTATTTGTTTAATTAGCAAAAATTACTATTATGTGTCCGTAGGTGGCAAAACAGCATCAAAAGTTACTATATTTAATGTGCAGATTAAATGTGACAAGTAATTAAAGGTGTTTCAGTCAAAAACAGCAGATAAACTTCCTTTTATTTCTAATAGCTTTTAATATGAAGGTATCCTTTGACTTCTATTGCTCAATTTTAAAAAAATCAAATATGACAGATGAAATAAACTCTTGCAGTAGTCATCTACATTCTAGAATAAGTTTATTTATAGTAGTAGACCCTTTTTTAAAAATCCATAGGAGGCACCAGGGTGGCTCAGTCAGTTAAGTGTCTGACCTTGGCCCAGGTCATGATCTTAGGGACCTAGGATAGAACAACGCGTTGGGCTCCCTGCCCAGTAGGGAGTCTGCTTGTCCCTCTGTCCCTCCCTCTGCTCATGCGTGCTCTCTCTCTCAAATAAATAAAATCTTAAAAAAAAAAAATCCATGGAAGATATGTAATTCATCTGTTTCAAGGTCACTTTATTTATTTATTTATTTATTTATTTATTTATTTATTTAAGATTGAAAGAGACAGCAGGGGAGGGAAGATTGACAGAAAGAGAGGGAGAGAGAATCTTAAGCAGGCCCAACACCAGTGTAGACCGGATACGGAGCTCCCCCTCATAACTCTGAGATCATGTCTGAGTCAAAATAAAGAATCAACGCTTAACCCACTGAGCAACCCAGGCACCCCTCGCCACATTTACTTATTATTAATTTTATTAATTTTAAATGTTTTAAGTCTTTTTAAAATTGAGGTAAAAGTGGTACATGATATTTTATTAGCTTCAGATGTACAGCATAAAAATTCGACATTTGTATGCACCACAAATAGATCACCATGGTCTGGTAACAATTGTCACCACAAATTGACTCCCTTCATACATATTACATACCCCTCAATTCTCCTTCCCAATGGCAACCACCCATCTGTTCTCTGTATACATGAATTTTGTTTTGCTTTTGTTTTTGTTTTATGTTATTTTGTTGTTGAGATTCCCTCTGTAAGTGAAATCATATATTATTGGTCTTTACTGTCTGACTTATTTCACTTGCATCATACCCTCAGGTTGCAAACATGTTGTCCCAAATGGCAAACTTCCCTTCCTGTTAATGGCCATTTATAAATATTTTATATATTTATAATATTTTTAAATGGCCACATATATATGTATGTATGTGTGTGTATACATATAACATGTCTTCTGCATCCATTCATCCATTGATGGATACTGACAAGGTTGTTTCCATATGGTGACTGCTGTAAATAATGCTGTGATGAACATAGTGGTGCATATATGTTTTCAAATTCTGTTTTCATTTTTGTCAGATAAATACCCAGAAGCAAAATTGCAGATGCCCAGAAGCAAAATACCTAAAAGCAAAATCATGCAGTAGATCATTTTTAATTTTAGCAGAAACTCTTATTTGTTTTCCATAGTGTCTGCCCCAATATACATTCCCAGCAACAGTGCGGGAGGCTTCCTTTATCTCCGTATCCTCTCCAACACTTGTTATGTCTTGTCTTTTTGATGATGGCTATTATAACAGGCGTGAGGTGATAATCATTATGGTTTTTGATTTGTATTTCCCTGACAGTGATATTGAACATCCTTTCAGATGCCTTTTGGCCGTATGTCTTCTCTGAAAAAGTAACTATTTAGATCCTCTGCCCATTTTTAAATCAGTTTTTTTGTTTTTAATTGTTTTATTTGTATTGAGTTGTTTGGGTTCTTTATATATTTTGGATGTTAATCTTTTATCAGATATATGATTTGCAAACATTTTCTTTCATTCAATATATTGCCTTTATACTATGTCAATGGTTTCCTTTGCTGTGCAGAAGCTTTTTTTTTTTTTTTTTTTTTTTTTTTTTAGTTTTTAGTTTTTAGTTTTTAGTTTTGCTCTTATTGCCTTTGCCTTTGGAGTCAGTTCCAAAAATTCAATGCCAGGACCAATATCAAGGTGCTCAATGTATATTTTCTTCTAGGAGTTTTTCTGATTACATTTAAGTCTTTAATTCATTTTGAGGGACACCTGAGTACCTCAAGACAGTTAAGCACCTGCTATCGGCTCAGGTCATGGTCTCAGGGTCCTGAGGTGGAGCCCCATGTAGGGCATCCTTCTCAGCAGGGAGTCTGCTTCTCCACTCCCTTTGCCCTTCCCACCCCTCATGTATACATGCACGTTCTCTCTCTCTCTCTCTCTCTCTCTCTCTCTCTCAAATAAATAAATTCTTCAGTCCATTTTGGGATTTTATATATGGTGTAAGATATTGATCGAGTTACATTCTTTTGCCTGTGGTTGTCCAGGTTTCCCAACACCATCTATTGGAAAGATCATCCTTTCTTCATTGTGTATTTTTGGCTCCTGTGTCATAAATTAATAGACCATATATATGTGAGATTATTCCTGGGCTTCTGTTCTTTCGTACTGATATATGTGTCTGTTTTTTGGTCAATACCGTATGGTTTTGATTACTGTAGTTGTATATTATAGTTTGAAACAGGGAAGCATTATACCTTCTGTGTTACTCCTCTTAAGATTGCTTTGGTTATTTGTGGTTTTGTGTGGTTTTAAAGCAATTTCAAAATTTGTTCCATTTCATTGAAAAGTGCTATTGGAATTTTTATAGAGATTGCTTTAAATCTGTATATGGCTTTGAGTCCTATGGACATTTTAACAATATTATCTTTCAATCTATTGAGGGCAGAATATCTTTCCATTTATTTGAGTCATTCAGTTTTATTTTGTTTTGTTTTTGTCATATCTTATAGTTTTCAGTGTACAACTTCTTGGCCTCATTTGTTACATTCATTCCCAGATATTTTGTTGATTTTTTAAAATTTTATTTTATTTTATTTAAAGATTTTATTTATTTATTCATAGACACACAGAGAGAGAGGCAGAGACACAGGCAGAGGGAGAAGCAGGCTCCATGCAGGGAGCCCAATGTGGGACTCGATCCCGGGTCTCCAGGATCACACCCCAGGCTGCAGGCAGCGCCAAACCGCTGCACCACCGGGGCTGCCCTATTTTGTTGATTTTTTAAAATGTAATTGTAAATGGGATTATCCCCTTAATTTATTTTTCTGACAGTTAATATTGAAATATAAATTGTATTTTATTCTTATTAATGTATAGGAATGCAACAGATTTTTGCATATTAATTTTGTATCCTGCAATTTTACTGAGTTCATTTGTTCCAATGTTTTTTTTTTTTTTTGTCATAGATTTTAGGGTTTTCCATACGTAATATCATGTCATCAGTGAGTAATGATGGTTTTAATTCCCTCTTTCCAATTTAGATGCCTTTTCTTTTCTTGCCTAAATGCCATGGCTAGGATTTCCAATATTATGTTCAATAAAAGTGGTGAGAGTAGGCATCCTTGTCTAGTTCTTCAGCTTAGAGGAAAATTTTTTAACTTTTCAGTTGAGTATGACTTGTTGTTGGCTCGTCACATATGTTTTTTATTATGTTAAGATATGATTTCTCTACCTCTACTTTGTTGAGAGTTCTCATCAGAAATGAATACTGAATTTTGTTACTTGCTTTTTTCTGCATGTATTAAGAATGGTCATATGACCTTTTTCCTTCATTTTGTTAATATGGTGTATGACATTGATTGATTTGCAGTTGTTGAATCATCCTTGCTACCCTGGGATAAATCCCACTTGATCATGGTGTATGGTCCTTTTAATGTGTTGTTGAATTCACTTTACTAATATTTTGTTGAGGATTTTTGCATCTAAGTTCATCAGGGATATTGACCTATAGTTTTCAATTTTCTTTTCTTCTTCGTCTTTTTTTTTTTTTTTTTTTTTTTTATCATGCCTGATTTGGGATCAGGGTAAGGTGAGCTCAGTAAATGAGTTAAAAAATAAAACTAAGGAGCACCAGGTTGTGACTCTTGATCTCGGGGCTGTGGGTTCAAGTCCCACATTAGGTGTAGAAATTACTTTAAAAAAGGAGTTTGGAAATATTCTCTCCTCTTCAATTTTTTTTTTTGGAAGGGTTACAGAAGTATAAGTATTAAATCTTTGAATGTTTGGTAGAATTCACCTTTGAAGCTATCTGGTCCTGGACTTTTGTTTATTACTAGGTTTTTAATTACTGTTTGATCTCTTTACTAGTAATCAGTCTATTTAGAGATTCTATTTCTTCATGATTCAGTCTAGGAAAATTGGATGTATTATATTTAGATTACTTTCTCACTTATTTCGTGTATCTACTGTAGGTTTTTGGTTTACAGTTACTGTGAGGTTCCTACTATATAACAGTGCATGTATGTATACACACACACACATACACACATGTTGAAAGAAATTTAAATTTGTATTCTAAAACCTCTACATTTTTACTTCCCAACTTCTATCATTTTATGTCGTATTTTAGATGTTTTTGTTTTGTGTATCCCTTAACTAAATCATTGTAGTTACAGTTAATTGTATTGCTTTTGTCTTTTAATCTTCAGAGTATCTTTAAGTGGTTAATCCACTATCTTTACTGTATATTTGCCCTTACCCTGAAGAAAGCCCCAACTTGTCTCTGGCCCTCAGAAGATGCTTAAGATTAGCAAATGCATCTCCTTCACATATAATCCAGTCACATATCAAACTGCCACCTTTGCCTTGTGTCCTGGAATGAGGGCATCTGTAAGTGAGCCTCTCAGAAGGAGTATTTCAGATCCCCAGAGCCCCCAGTGTCCCCTTGATGTAAGCCCCATTGTTTTCCACAGCCAGACATTCTCGATATCTTAACTCTCTGGGTGCAGGTCCTGAGGGTTAGGGTGCTCAATGTAGGGCATAA